ATGTTTATAGGGAAATCTATTAGAATATGATTAAAATATATAAAATTGTGTATATAGGAACTCAGAGGTATTTCCACATTGGTGAAAATGTTAATAATTTGGTGGATAATGTTTTATTCTTTATCAGTTTTTGCATTTTAGAAATTTATCTTGAGCCCTGGCCAGGTAGCTCAGTTATTAAGAGTGTTTTCCCAATATTCCGAGGTTACACGTTCAATCTTCCCTGGACAGGGCACATACAATAAGCAACAAAGGAATGAATAAATAAGTATTTAATACCTCTCTCTCTCTCTCTCTCTCTCTCTCTCTCTCTCTCTCTCTCTCTCTCTCTCCACCTCTAAAAATAAAAACTAAAATATGAATTTATCTTATATTTTATTATAATAAAGAGTGAAGTTATTATTATCTTGCAAAAAGAATGTAATTTACTTAATCTAATGTTGTGCCAACAATTTATATACAAGTCAAAAAATCATACATGAAAATGAGGCATTGGCACACTACTATCTTTTGGAATTATAGAAATAGTGTTATTCAATTAAGCACATATGGATTTAGCAATGAGATTGTTTTCAAGAAATTTATAATAGGATATGAGTAACAACTTGAATATAAACTGTTTTATAAAATGTAAAAATGATATTTTCCACTTACTAGGTAAATGAGAAAATGTGAAAACAGACAACCTTCTTTATGACATCTTCTTACAATAATTAAGTCATTAAAACATTTTAAAAGCTAACGTGCTTGCTTTTAGATTGTTTACTTAAAATTGCACTGTGATGCATTTTGTGTCTTTCTGAAAATTTCCTTAAGAAAGAAAATCACAGGGAAGAGAGAAGACTATTGCTGCTTCAAGCTACATCTTAAAAGGCTTCCTTGCCTCTTTATATTACTCATCATACATCATGCCCACAATCCTGTTAATGAATGAAGTTAAATCAGAAAAGGTAGCTGCCAAAATAAAAATTTATTTTAAAAAAATTGAACATTTATTAAAGTTTGAAATATGATCTTTGTATCAGTGGTTTTAGTACTTCCTAGAGTCATATTATTGAGACTATTAGAGGCTCAGTGCATGAATTCTAACACAGATGGGGTCCCTCAGCCTGGCCTATTGGGGGCTGGCTGGCAGAGGGGGAGGGACCTTGGGAAGTTGGCCTGCAGCCCCCTAATTGGGGCCAATTGGGGAACTGGCGAGCAGGGGGGAGGGACTGTAGGAATTTGGCCAGCCAATTGGTTGGGCTGGCTGGCCTGGGGTGGGGCCGAAGGAGGTTGACTGGCTGGCTGTCCCCTTCCCCCACTGATTGGAGCTGATGTGGGGCTGGCTGGCTGGGGCAGGGGCCACAGGAGGTTGGCCGTCCATGGGAGGTTGGCTGAGGGAGTACACTGATGACCAAGGGGAAGCTCCTGCATTGAGTGTCTGCCCCCTGGTGGTCAGTGTGCATCATAGCGACAGGCCGAATAGTTGGTCTGTTTGTTCATGTTGTTCAATTGTAATGTTCACTTGGACTTTTATATGTATAGATTCCTTTTTAAAATATGATAGCCAGTTCTTCTCACTCTCCAGTCATCTATCTCACCTGGAAATTTAAATGTCATCACACAATCACACACTCAAATATAAACTGGAAATCAATCATCTGCTATAGATAGACTATCTGCTCTAATATTCGAAGCATGTATAATGTACATATTGGTTCAAGTTCAAATGTTACTAACCCAATGATTTTGATGCTTGAGGATTATGAAACAAAATATTTTATAGTATCAGGCTTGGGTAACATTACAACGTCATAAAAGATTATCAAAGTAACCCTGACATTGCACAGCAATGCACAGGTTTAAATGCTGAGCCATGAGGAACAAAACACTTTACAGACAGGATCACACCTCATGCATTATAGGACTTGCTATTAGTTATGACAGTTTTATTACATGAACCTTGACTACCAAAACAGCTGACCCTTCCTAACAATTTGATCTCACAAGATTCTGTAAAAAATCATATATCACACATCATATAAGTAAATAGAATCCTCAACACTTCTCTGAATATCCAATGACATTATGTTTAAAGCAATGTAAATATGACCAATATTCTATAGTAGTCACAGTGAAAGGAAGTACATTTTCAGTACTGGCATACTATTATGTGCCTGTGTTTTATATTGTGATTTAGATTAAATGCATAAAGAAAAAACTGGCTTAAGAAAAAAATTTAAGCGATATAATTAAAGCAGTTAAGAAGACTTGGAGAAAACAAAATTATAGTATTCTATACATCTTTAGCTGAATTTCAAAATAGCAAACATTAATGAGATATAGTAAGAAACCATGTTATGAACACTGCATTATAATGACATTTCTCTGTAAATTATTGACAAAGTTCATAATTCCTTTTGCCAAATGAACTATTAGAGAATGTTAGCTACTTGCTGAGTTACCAACAAAGGCCTTTTTCTAAGAAAAGCATTCTGCCACTTCTTTCTGTGGTTGCATTTATCATTTCTGGAGCTTTTTTTGTTGAGAGATCAGGAAATTCTGCAGACTGGCCCAGGAGGCTCCTTTAAAATTGCCTACAGAATGCTCATTATCCTATACTATATACTATGTATGATAAATCCTTCTAGTCTGTTATCTTTGTTTTGAGTTACTCTCCTGGAACCTTTCAAAGTTTACCATTGTTTATATTCCCCTGGCTTTATATGCATTTCAACTGTCACAATAAATTATATATACCTTCATGTGGCTAAAACTACATTCACTCTGCTAATTTCATTGTTCTTTCTCTTGCTTTCTTCCCAAGGCTTTTTCTGGGAACTGCAGAGACAAGTATTCCAATAGATTATAAACATTGAAATGCTTTATGATGTTGTCAACTAACAGGTAAGACACAAGCCATAGGCAAAATTATTTTTCTTTTCTTTCAGAAACTTTTATGACAGTTAATGCACGAATTACACTTTAGCTGACTGTCATCCTTTTTTTTAATGTAAGTTCAAATACTAGTAATTCTTAGATTAGCCTCACAAGAGAAATTTAATTAGCACTTTCTAGACATATTCGCATTATTTGTTTTTAATTTCTCACCCAAGAACATGTTCATTGCTGTGAGAGAAACATGGATTGCTTGCCTCACATATATACCCCAACCAGAGATCCAACTTGTAACCTGGGAATCAAACCTTAGTGCTTTTGGTGTATGAGATGGAGCTCCAACCAACTGAGCCATACAATTCAGGGCTCAAAGTGTGGTTTTAAATATATTACAATATTTAACTCTACTAAATAAATAATCATATTCATAATTGCTCATTTATTTTTTGAGATTATGCATGATATTGGAATACCTTTCAGAATACCATGATATGATAGCAAATCACCTATAATAATAAAATCAATAGAAATTTTTAAAATTAGAAAATTTTAATCAAAAAAAGCTATGTGGTTGAAATTATACCTTTATACAACTTTGTGTAATGGCAATAATTTGCATTTTCTATTTCAGATTATTTAGATTACAAGAGTAAAGACCCAATTCTTAAAGAATATTCATTTCAACTTTGCTTGAAAATTCTTTATTTTTATTAGCTTCTATTTTATCACTGCAAACTATCCCATCATTCATCCTTCTCTTTTGAGGTGTAGATTATAAAAATTTAAATAATTTTGAACATGATAAAGCATAAAGAAATAACTTCTAAAATACAGGTAAAATTTTTCCATTAGAATTCATTGGCTATTTTGGCAAACATCTTGATTTTTCATCAGTTAAATGTACAAGGTAGAATACATCATTACAGATTTAAATTAGTATATGTATACAGTTTTTGGAATATTAAATGAGATGAGAGAAAATAAGTGAAAGTAGTATATTTGTGTGTGTATGTGTGTGTGTTTGGATATATATATATATATATATATATATATATATATATATATATATGTATACACACACACACATATAGTTTAATAGGTGTCTCTTCTTTATGAAAACCATTGTGTGTGTTTTTCTTTCTGTTTTCCCTTAAGAGCAACCATTGTAATTGCATTTTTTTCCTTTATTTTCTCACCCATCTCTTTGCTGGAGTTACCAGGGTAACCTAAAAAATGAGTCATAATAAAGAGGAACTAAAAAATTATGAATCTTGGAAGAATCTAAGATAGGCATTGCATAAGACAAGAAAAATCAAGTTAAAAAAGTTCCTAAATAAAACTAAAAATGGAAAGCTGGCAGAAGTCAGAGAAATAGTAGGCAGACAAGAAATCAATATTAGTGAGAACACCTAAATGAACAAAGGCCAGAGATAAACGACATGTAATGAGCATCTTCCCTCAGAAAACCGGTCTTCTGATCAGTTATTTTTTTCTTTCAAGGATACAATTCTTATTATAACTCCAGGGTCAGGAAATAAACAAATGTTGCTTAAATATTAAAAAAAAAATAGTATTGATTAATGCTTTTTATACTTTGTATTGATTAATGATCTTAGGATGAAAATTGTTCAAATATTGACTAGAAAAGTTTTGTAAAAAATAACAACAAGAAAAAACACACAAAAGAATAATGAGGATTAAAGCAACAGAGAGTAAAATGCAAGAATGTTGATGGTTAAGAGAAACTTAGCATAATATTATTTCTGAGTTCCATGCTAAAATATGGTTTCCATACACTCTTTCCATCATAATATTGAACTTATTATTTTTTAAAAATATGTATTTTATTGATTTTTTAAGAGAGGAAGGGAGAGGGATAGAGAGTTAGAAACATCAATCAGTTGTCTCCTGCACAGCCCCCACTGGGAATGCGTCTGCAACCAAGGTACATGCACTTGATTGGAATTGAACCTGGGACCCTTCAGTCCATAGGCCAATGCTCTATCCATTGATCCAAACTGGTTAGGGCTGAACTTTTTCTTACTAATGCAGATAATTTTGAACCAATTCAATAAAAAATAAGACTATAATATAAATTCTAATGTATAATTAAAACTTACATATTTTGTGAAACTTTTGTTTAACATCATGAATGGTAGATGTTTGCATCATCTGCAAAGGACAAGAAAATAGAGAGAATTGGTATAAGGAAAAGGTGTTTATCTGTTTGCTGTACATTTAATAAGAAAACACAATTTAATATGTTTGAAGTATAAAGTTATTACAAAATAACCTGTTTGTTTTGTTTATTTTAACTTTTAGTCATTGTTGCTTTGACAAACTTAAAATATTACTTCATATACCGTATTTTTCGGACCATAAGACGCTCCGGACCATAAGACGCACCAGTTTTTAAAGAAGGGAAATGAAGAAAAAAAGATTCTGAAACAAATAGTGTCCTAAAATATTTTATGTGCATTAAAACCCAACATCACAGTCATAAACACATGTAATCAACCCTGTAAAGTAAACAGCAGCATTTAGAACCATTTTAGAGCCGGGCAAGCACACAGAGACCACACAGAGCCAGGCAAGTAAAAAAACTTTTTTTAAAAAGTATATGTGTAGGCTATATTTGGACCATAAGACGCGGGGACTTTTCCCCCCCACTTCTGGGGGGAAAAAAGTGCGTCTTATGGTCCGAAAAATACGGTATATGTTTGTGTGTGTGTGTGTGTGTGTGTGTGTGTGTGTGTGTGTGTGTGTTGTGAGTGCGCACTCTGGTGCACAGATTGAAGCACATTGAAAGGAAATTAGTTAGAAGAAATATTTTAATATCCCTATTCACCCTTTCTCTATAATAGAAGTGTCAACCAAATTCATGATTGACATTTACAGATTGAAACACACACTTGCAATTAGCACCAGCAAAAGTTTTATATGTATGGTGCATGCACCAGTAAACTTAACCTTTTATAAATATAGAATAAACTTGCTTAATGAGACCTGCTATTTTATTTAGCTAAATTTTTTCCAGCCCAATGAAGCACCCCAACTTCTCTTTCAAGTAATTGTCAACAACACAGCAGTAAATATCAACATGAAGCAGATTATTATTGTAGATCATGTAGGGATAACAAAGGGTAAAATATTTAACTGCAGCAGTGTTTGACTATATTCTGCACCGTGAGAAAACCTGAAGTCATTTTCAGTTGAGTCAAGTTTCTAAGCTTTCTAAATTTCCCTTTTCTGGCTAATGAAAAGAAAATAGGATTCTACCAAGTCTCCTATCTGCTTACTCCAGGACTTCTGTGAGGATGAAATGAGATAAGGCACAGGAAAACACTTCATAGACATTTGGTTAAAGTGTAAAATGTTTGCTATAAAGCAAATAGTGTTCCTGGGCTGAAGAAACTGCAAGGAGGCTAGTCACTAGGCAGAGGAAACTGGTCATTACTACATTACCCAGAGCCCACAGCCACTGTTTCTGGGCTGGACTGTGGACCATATTTTCTGCCATGAGGGCTTGGCAGCATTGGCTGTGATTTGGTGGTGTGTTGCTCTGGTGTGGTGGCAGGGCCTGTGTCCCACTTGGGAGAAGCCGAGTGTTGCTTTGTTGGTGCCAGGTCCACAGTGCTATTTCTTTGTAAATGACCAGTGCACATGATGGCAGCTCCTGCATTGAGTGTCTGCCCCCTGGTGGTCAGTGTTCATCATAGTGACTGGTCAGACAGTCAGAAGGACACAGCATAATAGCCTTTTATATATTTTTCATTTTTTTAAAATTTAAATTATAGTATTAATGGTATTATTATATTAGTTCATCCTAATCTATATCTCTAAAATAAATTTTGAATTTTATATGTACATAATATTCAATTTCTGGTTTTCAAATAAGTGAGATTACATATTAAAAGATGAATAAGTACTCAAGACAAATAGAAGATGAAGGCTGTATACAGGATGGGGCAAAAGTAGATTTATAGTTGTTCATAAGGAAAATAATATAATAATGAATAAAAAATAATAATACAAAAGTAACCACTGTTTTGCATACTCACAACTGTAAGCCTACTTTTGCCCCATTCTGAATACAACAGAAAAGCCTAAGGATTTAAAATTAAGGTACATGGACAAAAAGAGAAATGTTTACTTGAGAATATCATGAGAAAAATGTCCTATCTAAGCCCCATAGTTGTGTTGTTAAAACTCCCATCCAAAATTACTATTGGTTCACAAAATCCATTTTAGATATATCATTTGGATTGTTTATGTACATAGGAGTTTGACCAATTATTTGGTCCTAATTTGTTAGAATTAACCCTAATATTAAAATTAAAAAAAATTAAAAATTTTCTTTATCTATATTGAAAAATTCATGAGAATAAATGTTCTATCAAATCACTTAAAGCCATTCCATTACCTTTTGACTTTCTGACTTTGTTCATATCAAACTTGAAAGCTAAAATTCCTTTACACCTCTGATTCCTTTCATTGGTTTATGAAAAACCTAATTGTCCTTCAAAATCTGCATCAAAAGACATTTTCATGATCATGCAAGAAAAATATTCCTCTTTTTCTAAGCAAGCATAACCTGTTGCATACATTTTTAATTTTTTGCTACATTAAGATCTGCTCAAGGTTATTTTTGGAGTGCATAACGAAAAAAGTGCACAAGAGATAATAATATTAATACCCAAACAGCTGTTATTAACAGTAGTATATTATATTTAATTTTTATTATATATTAAAAGCATAACAATGAATACATTTTACCATATTTCAGTCACTACTTAATATAACTATATATTAACTGTGCTATACCATTTATTTTTCCTAATTCTATGTATGTGTTTTACCAAATAAAAAAGTTTGAAGATGTAATCCTGAATAATTACATTAATTCTTATTTGTGTTATGTTGTAAATAACAAAAGGACCCTAAAGGATTCTCTGAGAATAAAATTTTCAAATTTTTTATATCATCAATCTATTCTGGAAGATGCCGGGGCATATTTGAAAACCAGTTTTTAGAGAAGGTTATTTATTTACATAGCTATAGATGTGGTCATATTTAATTTGATTATTCAATTATATTTATAAAACCTGGCAGTTTTAACAGTGTTTATTGTTCAATCTCACTGTTTCTTACTCACAAAGCACACATATTTTGTTCCCTCTCACAGGGATGCCTAAAATCCATATGCAATTCCTTAGTGTCACAGATATTTATATATTATTAATTTCAAGGACCATCTAATTTGGAAAAACAAATAATATTCATGATCAATAACTCCTCAGTTAGGGTTTGCTATGTGTTAGCTGTCACTTTATGAAGGCACATATCTTGTATTTACACACTGGAGGGCCAAGTGGAGGTGGGAAAGGGTGGAAGGGGGTGAATGGGAATATCTGCATTAATGTAAACAATGACAATAAGATTAGAAAATAATTTTAAAGTAACTTATTTTGAAGTGAAAAGTAAAACCAAGACTACAGATGATCAAATGAAAAGAGATCAAAATTCCTTAATCTCATGTGAAATTTCTTTCAAAAATAGATTTCTTCAGGAAAGCTGTATGCTTTTCTTTTCTTTTTTTTTTTAATATATTTTATTATTTTTTTTACAGAGAGGAAGGGAGAGATACAGAGAGCTAGAAATGTCGATGAGAGAGAAACATCGACCAGCTGCCTCTTGCACACCCCCCACAGGGGATGTGCCCGCAACCAAGGTACATGCCCTTGACCAGAATCGAACCTGGGACCTTTCAGTTTGCAGGCCAACGCTCTACCACTGAGCCAAACCAGTTTCCGCTATATGCTTTTCTTAACACTAGAATAATTTAAATTATAATCTTCTAATTGACATATGTATTTTTTGCTGTATTTACCAGCTTTCAAGACGAAGATTATGTGCTTCTGAAAGAAACCTAGATGTGAAAGAGGGTTCTTATTGCAAGATTTTAATGAAGTTTTAAATTTTCTTTTTAATTACATTTGACTTTCACGTTAGAAAAGTGCTGATTTTGAATAAACCTTTGAAAACTGCCCTTTCTGGAGCAATTTTAGTCAAATACAGCAGACAAAAATGTAATAATTAAATAATTAACCCTAAATGCTTTAGACAACTAAGCTTAATTAAACACAAGACTGCTTGATCAACTCTTTCAAGCCTTTAGTTGTATTTAGAGCAGAAAGAAAGGAAATGATGACAATTAATAGAGCATATAAACTTTATGATTACTAGTTCAGATCTCAGTAGCTTCATCAGGAAGTTTATTCGTAATAAGTATTTCTTTTTAGCCAGTTTTACAACCACTTAGAAAGGACAAACTATCATTTTTTGCAAATCACAATTTATCGTGCAGATGGGAGAAATTTGAAATCCTAAAATTCTCATTAACATTTTTCTCGTCAGAAAAAATTCATCTTACACTCTTAAGTAGACAAGTAAATTACACTTCTTAGTTGAATCAAAAATGTACTTATAAATTTTAACTGATCATATTTTAGGTTTGGTTCATCATCATTCCTTTATCCAATAGTTAAGTTGATGGAGTAAAATTATTTCACAAGCTAGATTCTACTTGAATTTCCCCCATACACAGGTCCTGCAATATTTCACACATAAAAAAAATAAAATTGTAGACTATTGCTGTTTTTAAAACTTTCTCAGGAACTTCTTGAAATGAACAGATTTCTCCAGAATACTATTTACCCTACTTAAAGAAATGAAATTTAATGGGTAAGGAAAAATAAACAACCACCGGGTGAAATTCACTCTACAGAAAAATGGCAATGTGCAATACAAAAATTGTCAGTAAACTTTTTAATATATTCTATTGATTTTTTACAGAGTGGAAGAAAGAGTAATAGAGAGTTAGAAATATCAATGAGAGAGAATCATTGATCAGCTGCCTCCTGCACACCCCCTACTGGGGATGTGCCCACAACCAAGGTACATGCCCTTGACTGGAATCAAACCCGGGACCCTTCAGTCCACAGGCCGATGCTCTATCCATTGAGCCAAACCAGTTTCGGCGTGTCAGTAAACTTTTTGAAGAAAAGGAATGTGTTCAACAGTGAAGACACAGAGAGAAATGAAATATAAGATAAATTGAATAGAAATAATTAGCTGCAGAGGTGTGAAAATACACACACACACACACACAC